ATAAATTATATTATTTTTATTTATATTAATGTATTTTTTATTTTATATGTATTTTATTTTATATATATTTTTGTTTAATATTATTGTTATTTATTTTTTATTATTATTATTATTAATAAACAGGGTTTTTGCAGGTCTTAAAAAGTTCTTAAAAACACTAAATTCACCCTTCCACAGATTAAGGCTTTAAAAGGGCTTAAATCAGAGCAGAAAGTCTCAAATGCATTGTCATGGCATTAAATGTTGTATACATTGCAAAAAATATCTTCCTCAGTGTTTTGTCTTTTATTTCCCAATGCAAATATCTAAACAGCCTTAAATCAAGACACATTTGCTTTGCTTGAGACATAAAATGAAAATATGAATGCTTGTTTTCTGAGAAAATGAACAATTAAGTGAGTTTATGCTTGAAACAAGAACGAATGTCTGTCAGTAAGACTTTGAATTACAAGTTTTTGTTCTTGTTTTAATCAAACTAAATTCATTTTCATCAGCTTTTCAAAAAACAAGACTTTATCTGATGGCATTTGGCTTTTTTTTTTGTTGCTTTTTTTTCATTTTGTCATCTTTTGACACCTTTTTTTTTTTCTAAAATGAATTTAAAAACTAATACTTTGAATGCAAGACATTGACGTTTAGAGACCATATTGACACATTGTGTCCCATTTAATTTATTTCTGAACATTTCTTTACTCGGTCTTAAAAAGCTGTACATTTACCTTCATAAAACCTGCAGAAACCCTGTATATATTTGACTATTATTGCATTTGTATAGTGTTTTTTCAGAGCTCAATATTAGTTCACTTTTAAGATTGAACTGTAAATATTCACAACATTGATGTTACACAATTCAGAAGTGTGTTGTACCTGTTATGGAAAAAAGATGTAGCAGGAATATTAATGGCTTGTCTTTATTTATATCCATAGTTCGTCCTGGCAGCGTGAGAAACATCATTCAGCAGTTTGAGAATAATTCAGACTCCATTGAAGAAGGGGACAGTGAGGGACAGCAGTTGTCTTCCAGCAGCTTTGGAGAGGACAGCATGGACAGGTCACAGCATGCAGATGTTATATAAGCAGTTACATGTCATCAGGATATTTCACTTTTAGATGGTTCTCACAAGACGTTCCAGCTTTAATGATTTGATGTTGATTGCATTCGTTTATTCTCCTCCTCAGTCCGACCATATCGGTTCGTTTGGCTCGCAGCGAGTCTTTGAAGGCTCAGGGGGAGGGGCGTCGGCGAGGAGGCGGGCCGGGGGCGGAGTCTGTCCCTCGTTCCCGTAGCGATGTGGACATGGAGGACTGTGAGGAGAGGGAGGGGCCGGGACTGAGGCCGTTACATCACAGCGCCTCGTCTTCAGCCTCCAGCAGCTCGGCACGGTACAAACACACAGACACGTAAAAAAAACCTCTTTTTTTTTTTTATTGACAAAACACACTATTCCACATCCTGCTCAATGCTGTCCTTCAAACAAACGTGCAAACTGCATGCTATGAACACACACTGTATGATTAATATATGTGACTCTGGAGCACAAAAGCAGTCTTAAGTTGCTGGGGTATATTTGTAGCAATAGCCAAAAATACATTGTATGGGTCAAAATTATTGATTTTTCTTTTATGCCAAAAATCATTAGGATGTTAAGTAAAGATCATGTTCCATGAAGATATTTTGTAAATTTCCTACTGTAAATATATCAAAACTTAATTTTTGATTAGTAATATACATTGCTAAGAACTTCATTTGGACTTTAAAGGCGATTTTCTCAATATTTTGATTTTTTTTGCACCCTCAGATTCCAGATTTTCAGGACAACTTTAAAGGCGATTTTCTCAATATTTTGAATTTTTTTGCATCATCAGATTCCAGATTTTCAAATAGTTGTATCTCAGCCAAATATTGTCCTATCCTAACAAACCATACATCAATGGAAAGCTTATTTATTTCTTTATTCTGTAAATGTATGAAACGTCTTACATTTATATTCAATCGCACTCTGTTATCCCTTTACAGTTACTATCATAAAACACTTGAATTACATGTTGACTTTTAAACCTGAATTTAACGTCCAATAACAAATATATCAGCAAAATTACTATTATTGCTCTGAATTTGACTAATATTTACGCGTGCCGGCGCTCGTTCAGTGAAGTCTGAAGTTTAACGCACATGGACGAGTCTTCATGCAAAATAGAAACATTCACGTGAATATGTAACATTTACAGAAAAGGGTATTACAGTAAAATGCAGTTTATGCGCCGAGGAAACATTTCTCACACATTAAACAACACATGCATCTGTCAAAGCGCCTGACAGGATGAGCCGTGTTAAATATTACGCTAATGCATTAGCTTGAAGTTTAAATAAAGCATTCTCATGTTTCGGGCAGCTTGGATCACGCATCTTTCCCGCTGCAGCTCGCTCTGTTTCGTTTGCTATTTTTAGATGCATTTCGTCCATAGAAATGCATTATTCACTGCAGTAATTTGCGCGACTGGCAGAAGTTTTGCGTGCGCGTTGGGAAGACGCGACCAATCGATAATGACATCCGTTGTTGATTATTTTCATTTAGTGGTCGACCGATATGGGATTTTTAATGGCCGGTGCCAATATTGAGAAATCAATCTGGCCGATATAATACTGTGCTGCAGATCTGATGTCTCACGGTACGTTTGAATAAGACTTTGCTGCACGCCGGAGTGTTATTGTATGTAACACAATGTAGCGTCACGCTAGAAAGTGAATGACAATTGGTAATTTTACTGTCTGTCAGGTGCTGGCTTCACGTCTCAGTGGCTTGTCTTAAAGAGGAAGCACAAATGCACGATATGGTGTCATAATCCGTTTTGAAAAACATCTGCCACACGGAAAGACTTATCGGCCGATGCCGATATTTAAAAAAAATAGCAATGGATTCCATTTACACTAAGTGAAAATAGCAGTATTTTTAACAATATGCTATTTACACTAAGTGCAGATAGCGATAGATTCTATTTACATTGTTAAAATAGCAGGATTTTCTGCTATTTATACTACTTATTGCAAATAGTGGCAATTATCTGCACCTCAGTATCGTAGTACATTATAAAACAGTATGCAATAATAACGTATTGTGTAAATTATAATTTTAATTCAAATTATTAAATGGATGCCACCTTATTGGGACAATAAAGCCCTCCCTACACCTACCCTAACCCTACCCGATACTTTGTTTTCAACTTTTTGATTATTTCCTTAATTTTTATTGAAAATAAAGGCCTTTCCGATGTGACATGGGATTTGAAAAGGGAGAAAAAAAAAGTTCTGTAAAAGGCGGATTCGAACCCGGGTCGATGGCTTCAAAAAGACTACGATAGGCGCTTTACCATCTACACCACTGGAGCTGATGATTGTCGGCCGTCTTTTATAGTGTTGACCATCCCTATCACACGTTTGTGGGTGGAGCTAATGTAAATAAAGTCTGCCAACAAGGCGGGCTATTTGCACTTAGTGTAAATAGACACTCCGTTAAAGAAATTCTAAATATCGGCCGATATATCGGTCGACCACTATTTTCATTATCGGTTTTTATCTATTAGTTGTTGCAGCCCTAGAAAAATTATAGATCATTTCCATAAATAAATCCATTAAATTTAGTTTCTTTTTCGTTTGTTTTGAGTTTCTAACTTTATTTGTATTGTTATTTCAGATCGCTGGAGAACCCGACGCCGCCGTACACGCCTCGCTCTCAGCGCAGGTGAGGTTTATCCGCTCTGGCTCTGCTGCTCTGTCTCTGCTCGTGCGTCTCATTCTCTGCTGTCCGTCTGTAGGATGCTGGACGCTCCGGCGGCTCTGTTACCGGACGCGCCGGCTCTGGACGAGGACGTGATCGACTCGCAGAACTGGCAGGAGACGGTGGAGCCGCACGTTCTGGCGTCACTCAGCTCACGGGAGATCGACCGGCAGGCCGTCATCTACGGTACACGCTTACACACGCACACACTGAAGTCAGATCTTATGACATGTTTGCCTGAGCAAAGGCAGGCCATTTGGAAACCTGTTTGAAAACAGTCATTTTGCGGTTAGGTTTGTTGCTGTTTGTGGTGCAGAAACGACGCACTTCCATTTAAGCATCTGCTTTAAAAGAAATATTTATGAAATGCTTTTTTAAAATATTTATATAAAATGCTTTAAAATAAATATTTCAGGTTCAGTTCAGCTTTACAGCATCTGTGACATGGCGTCAGTTACTGCAGCTCATTTTTAGACACTTATAATGTGAAATATTACAGTACGCACTGATTTAAAGTATACAAGTTTATAATACATAAACGTTCCATTAACATGAGACTAATGTGATTAAATCACTATTATAAAACGTAGAGTTCCGGTGCTTGATTCTGATTGGTTGAGCCGCGTTCTAAGCTGTTGTAAATTACTCTACAAACATACGGCTTTGTTTACTTCTGTGTGTTGCTCGGCAACCACTTTGTTGCAACCACAACTGATTCTGAGGAACTACATTGTTTGGTGGAAGAATACTGTTTTTATTAATATCATTACACTTTATTTGCTCTGTTTTATTTTGTGAAACCTTACTACGTATATGGAATAACCGGTTTATAAATGCAAAAAGCACGGCTTCTTGGGGCTTATTGCTTTAGTAGCATTTTACGAGGTTTCGTTTGTTAGTACTACATTACTTAGCATGAACTAACAATAAAAATACTCCTAAAGCATTTATTAATCTTCAGTTAATTACTAATGCATCATTTAAATCAAAAGTTGAATCAGTTCATATTAGTTAATGGCACTTGTCTAACATAAACTAACAATGCGCAAATGTATTTCTATTAACAGACATTAACAAAGATACTGTATCAAATGCATTGCTCATTGTTATTTGATATTGATGCATTAACTAGTGTTAAACAATGGGACCTTACTGTGAAGTGTTACCAGATCGCTAACAATATCCAGCATTTTATGGCATGATACATGGAAAGATTATTTCATTAAAATTATTTTACCTGGAGAACTGATCTGAACAAAATCTGAAAATCAAAATAGATCATCCATCTAGAAAATTGTTCCCACCTCAAAAAGACAGATTTAGACACGGTTATGGCTCAAATAAAACATATCTTGTTCAGGAAGAAATTTATTTTATTTAATTTTAATTTAATTAAATTTTTTAAAATTCAGAAATGCATCCAAATTATGTTCTTTGGTAATGGTCATCATGCTACAGATACTGCTGTACTTCTACTGAGCCCAGAACTTATTTGTTTTATAATGTTATTATGACTTAATGTAATTAATTTGATTTATTATAACTTTTATTTTACAATTTATTAAGCCTGTGTTCAGCATCATTTCACGCTATATACATTTGAAAGGCATTCAAAAGCACTTCTAAATTAGTGCCTCACATAAATATTCCCCCATTATGTTGTCAATATCTGAGTGAAATAATCACCAAACCGACTGACAACAGTTTAATACACTGATTGTGTGTCTGTCACACGCTTGAACGTCTTTACTAAATGATATTAAGCGTGTAAATATGTCAGTAAGAATATTACCTGGCTGTTTACAGATGTGTACAGCGTGAAATCTCAATGCCTTGACTTCCTGGAATTAATAACCAGCCCAGGGTGAAGCTTAAACTGTGAAATACGAGAGTTTTTAACTCGGAAGGGAATATCGAGCATCAGATCCGTCAGGCGTCTGTCAGCTCAGGCTCTGTGGCTCTGTAATCAGCAGCGTTTCTCCTCAGGCCGGAGAAACGAGCTTCCTGACAATCCCAGACATGCCGGAGATGTTTCGTTTGTTTTAAGATGATACATCTCTGAAAACTATACCAGTCAAAGTCTCAGATGATCTCAGATAGCCTCGAGCCTCAGACTTCAGTGTGTTTATGGGCTACATGGAAAAACATGACCGATTTTAAGAAATTGTAACCCAAATCTTAGGTTGTTTTGAGACGCACGTCCTGACGTCACTCAGCACCGACCGTGAGAACAAACTCAAGACAGATTTGAGGAAATTAGACTGTCAGCCCCTTGTCAGGTTTTGGTGCATTTTACATGGAGCCTAGTTACAATTCTCCAAATGTTGCTTGTTAATGTAACCAGCAATTAATTCTACTTTATACTAGCTGTGTAGATGCACATAAAATCTTAAAATGTGCATTTAAGAAATATTTTTATCTGCTTTTTTTTAATCCTGTCTCATTGATTGTGTTCCCAAGCATCAGGCATCTGAATGCAAGATACTGTAGCGTGTTTCGATTTGTCTGCATTGAGTCATTAATTATTAGGAAAAAAAAGAGCCCAGCTTCTGTTTTTGTTATTGATACGTTGCACCAGTTTCCCAGGAGTGACAAATTTGGTCTCTTGAGCTCAGTGCTTTATTTGCAAATGTTCGATATTCCATATTTTCCGAAAAGTTAAATTTTGTTTTATGCGATATTTCAGTTTTACGTAAAGTTAAATATGCAACTTTGTTTTGTGTGATATTCCAATTTTTTTTATTTTTTATGTACAAGTTAAATTAGCAACTTTGAATGGAAACATAGTTACCGTCTTATCCTATAACAATAAAATACCCAAAATGTTACAGATAAATTATGCTGTACATTGCAAATTACAGGATTTTACTCCAGCTACGTTTCTCTTCTTTTCTCTCCTCGACACATAAACATGTTGAACTTTCACTGGAGTTTGTGCTTTTTTGTTAGATATCGTAATATCCTTTTACCTAGGGCTGGGCCGATATGGCAAAAAAATTAAATCTCGATTTTTTTCCAGAACGTTTCTTACGATTTTTAACTAGTCCACTTGAAAATGTAACTACAATATGATTCAAGTAACTTTTTCTTTATCAACCCTCTAGGTATAGAAATTTCTATTTCAAGTGCACCGCACATGATGTGTGAAATGTTAAACAAATCACTTCTTAAATATCTTTGCAGAAAAGATGCAACTACATCTTGTACAAACTTGACATATATATATATATATATGATATGTTCCGAAATAATACAAGGAAAATGCTTTTTAAAATAAAATCTGTAAAGTCAAGGTAATTCAAACTCAAAATGACTTAAGACACCAGTAGACTATTATTAACTATAAATGTTCTGTAAAAACAATGAACAGCAGCTTTCAGTCTGTCACCATGATGCAAACATGAAATATTAGACATACAGTAGTAGTTCTTTACAGGTTTGCATTGGATTGCGCTGCTTTTCCACAGTTTTTTCTATGTAAACATGGGCACGTTTGATGCTGCACTCACATCTCTTGCGGCGTCTCATGCATGAAACGACTTTCTAAAAACACTGCGCTCAAGTTAAAAGAAGTGCAACTCCCATCTTCCTGCATTTTTTCCTATTCCACTGAATCTGTCTCAACACAAAAGCGCATTCTGTGTGAATGGCACCTTACGGTCCTTCGGTTTCATCGTTTTCTCTTTACTGTTAACACTGGCATATTGTCAAAGTGTCTAATTCTAACGTTTGTAATATTTCTATTCAAAATGGTGATTCCTCGATTTATAAAAACTACAATTGTGGCAAAACGTTAAAGGCACAATATGTAATTTTCGCCGCTAGAGGGTGCGTATTCAGAACAAACAAAGAGACAAAGGCGTAGTTTGATGACTGTGACTGAGTGTGGAATCATGGGAGTTGTCATCTTCATCCCCACAGCCGATGCAATCCGACGGGACTCGGGCAGAAATCATGTGCGCACAACATATTAAAGCGTCTTTGGTGTTTCCATATGTTTTCTACAAAATAAAACCGGAAATCGAGGGGTTATGACGTCATTGGCAGTTGAGGCTTCTCCTATAATCCTCACTATATGTTTATTTACAGTAAGACAAAATATATCAAAGGCACTGCCTCTTTTCTGTTTCATTTAAACATATTAATAGCCACAAACGTATGGTTCATGCAACGCATACACACATTACAATAAAAAAAATTACATCAAACACCACTGCCTCTTTGTTTTATTCATTGTGTGTATCCTTAACAATAGAGCCCGACCGATATATCGT